CAGTGGGGAGGTGAAAAAAAAAAAAAAGAACTAAATTGATTTCTTTCTTTAAAAAAAACAGCTGGATCACAAAAGGTAAAAATGTACCAAACTCAACTAGTAATATACTATTATTGTTTCCTTGCGTTTTCTGAAATAATTGGTTGGAAATCATGAGATTAATCATTAATTAATTATTGATAGCCTTACTATTGTTCTTCGTCAGATTTATACCGACAGCTTGCATTTTAATTGTGCGTAAAAAAATACAGTATCATTTAATATAAACAATTTCCACATTAAATTTTAAACATATTTATTTATCAATAAATATACTAGGTATTTCATTTATTATAAAATACTGTAATTTATGAAGCAGTTTATTTTGGTAATATTATTCCATTTGAATATACATTTCAGCAATATTTGTATGTACAGATGTGGTTTACATACCCCTTGCAGAATCTGCATGGTCTAATAAAATGGTTTAATAATTTGAATACTCAAGTGTTTAATTATATTGTTAAATAATCACTTCACAATCAGTTCAGCTATTTATATGAATTCCTATGAATTTTATTGCTTCCTGGTTATATGTTAACATGGCCATGAGCATGAACTTGACTCGAAACAACATTAAGGTGTTGTATTCAACACAAGCACATCCTTTCTCCAGCTTCCATACTTGAAGCAATTTGCATTCTGTTACAAACCATGACATTTCATGACTTTTCCATATAAGACAATACATTTGTGTTGCAGAAAAATCCCATAGCAAAATCTAAAAGGGGAAGAATGAATAAGTGTTGGCAGTGAGACACCTTGTTCAAAAATCCTGATGGCTTCTCTAATGATTCATAAATTATGTTACGAGTCCAGGCTGCTCTGTTACTTGCAATGAATCACTCCATACGAAGGCACACACTTCAGCCAGTTTAATGAAACATGAGCACCTCAAGCCAATAAATCAACCAGCACAGAAGAGATTGGTTATACACTATATGCAACTGACCATGAGTGTGAAGGACAATATTTATAAATGCAAAACTGCATTTTCCAAAACTGACTAGTGGGTATACCATTCTTGTATTTCTGTAGCTCAAACAGTTAGAGCATGGTGCTAGCAACACCAAGGTCATGGGTTTGATTCCCAGTAAATACTCTACATATTTATATATGTAGAGATATAACCATATCGTATTAGGATGACACTGCAACACTATCATCAACACCAAACCAGGTCTGTTTTGTCAAGTGCAACTTAACCATTATTGATTTTTTTTTTTAAAGTACTGAGCATTAGAGGAGGTTGTTATAAAAAGATAAAGCTCAATTTTCTCTGAGCAGGGCTAAAAGCGAAGAAACAGTGAGTGAGAGCTATCTGAGCAGTGCATGCCTCCTGAGACATTCCTGTTATATAGCAGAGCTTGTCTTTTTGTTTCTACCATCAAGAAGTGGGAGAGATGCTTTGATCATGGGGTGGAACTTTTCTACAGTCGAGAGCGCAAGAGGGCAAGAGGAGCTTCCATCCAATGGCACTGAAGGAGACGAATAAGAAAATGAAGTGCAGAAAGTAGGACGTGGAAAGAAAAGCACGCCTGGAATAAACACAGAGAAACCAGTGCCAAGTGCTTTAAATCAACTTATACTGAATCATATTTGAGACAGCCAGAAAAGAAGAAACATGACAAAAAATACAGCGGGACGCTATATGTAAAGCTTTACAGTGTGGAAAAAAAAGAACACTAAGACAACTAACTAAATGCATAGACATTCATGTGGTGTCCAAGGTCAACACTGACAGAAAATAAATGGTTTGATTAGGTATCAATGTAAATCTGACAGTAATTTTTCCTCATCTGCCTATGGTGGTTCCAAATTTGGGCTGCATTTCACTTTTGTTGTGCAGTCAACTGTAAAATAGGATTTCTCTTGGCATGGGGCCTTCACTTCTTAAAAGAGGCAGATATATGATGCCAGGGATAGCAATGCAACACAATGGTTTAAAGAACTAGCAAACAAACAAATCCAGACAGCCCTCTGAAGGCATGTGAGCTTCCGATGTCTTCAACAGGCTTCAAAGAATCAAGATTCAAGGAGAAAGGGGGGCGAGAGCACATTTATTTGTGGTGACATGAAGTAAACTTCACTAAAAGTCAGTGTTGTTTTGATATATTGATATATAGATATATAGGCTGATATATTAATGGATATGAATATATAAAATATACAAACACAAAAATATTGCTAAAGGAGAAAGCAAAAACCAAACAAGAAATTCCTCCAATGTGTTTACAAAAATATTTTGTTTGCAAAGTAGCATAATTGATAATACAGTAGCCAGGCTTACTTTCATTAGATGTTTTATTTTAATACTGGCTTGCAATTATTTATTTCAAACAAACAAACAAATAAATAAACAAATAAATAAATAATGGATTTTTTTGCCTGTGAGAAGAAAATTTTTAGATATCTTCTCACAGGCACTTTCCCCACTGCATTCAAGCAGGCTCGGATAACCCCACTGCTCAAAATGGATAATAATTCCAAATGGACGCTATAAAGCTAGCGTACTCGCCTACAATGCCCCATGGGAGTAAGAGCCCACTCAACAAGAGGCGTTGCCTCTTCCTGGGCTTGGTCTAGCGGTGTGTCCATTGCAGAAATTTGTGCGGCGGCCGGCTGGGCCTCGCCGTCCACATTTACCAGGTTTTATAATCTGGATGTCCTTGCCTTACAGGCTCGGGTCCTTTCTGCTTAAACGGACTTACTCTGGCCATATGGCGAAACCAGTGCGTCAGGCGTTTGCCTTCTTCACTGTACACTCTTGGCCCCCACTGGGTTCCAAGGATGTACAATTTATCTTGGAACGATTACTCAGCGTCGGGCCGACCTCTGCGAGTTTGGCCCTATCGCCTCCTGCGGGGCTTCCTGCAAAATACTTGGTCCCTCTGGGCCCAATTGGTGCTCAAGGCAAGTTCAAGTATTAGTCGTTCCTCTAGCATAGCACGGCGGGATTATACTGGTTCCCCATAGCATCTTAAGCAGACGCAGTACGAGTGAAGTATCGATAGGGAACGTACTCGGTTACTAAAGTAACCTCGGTTCCCTGAGATAAGGGAACGAGTACTGCGTTGCTGGCCGTGCTATGTAGCTGCATGACTCAGTCGTCGCTTCAGTCGAAGTAACCTGAGAATCTTGAATCTTACAACCTGTCGCTTTTAGTTTTTTAATTGATATTGCTAATACTGTAGGTAGCATATGATTTTATTCCTCAAACCAATTACTGTAGCATAAATCCAGCCCCACAGTAAATTTTCTTTATTAACTTTATCATGCATTACCCTGTCAAGAAACATTTTTTTTCAGACTTTATGTATTCTGTTAAGAGTAAACTAGAGTTAACTAATTTAATCTTTTATCTAGATGCATTTTTAAGCTTTTTTTTTTGCCCCTGTGAACAAGATACATTTTTCTGAGAAGAGTTAGACTGTAAATTTTAAACATGAACCTTCTAATAAGTTAAAACCAAAATGTGCTTTCAGTGCTCTACATACACTACCATTGAAAAGTTTGGGGCTGGTAAGATATGTGTAAAATATTTTGAACAGTCTCTTATGCTCACAAAGGCAGCATTTATAATATCAAAAACACAGTAAAAACATTTATATTCTGAAAGATTATTAACATTTAAAAGTAACTGTTTCTGTTTCAGTATATTTTAAAATATAAAGTATTACTTTGATGGCAAAGCTAAAATGATCTGATTTGCTTAAAAACATTTATTTTTCTTATCTATGTTTATAACAGTTGTGCTGCTTTTTTTCTGGAAACGTATTTTTTTATTAAATTTTTTACTTTATTTTATTAATATTTTTTAATCTTTGATGAATACAAAGTTTAAAAAACAGCATTTATTTGAAATGGCTGGTAAGATATGTGTAAAATATTTTGAACAGTCTCTTATGCTCACAAAGGCAGCATTTATAATATCAAAAACACAGTAAAAACATTTATATTCTGAAAGATTATTAACATTTAAAAGTAACTGTTTCTGTTTCAGTATATTTTAAAATATAAAGTATTACTTTGATGGCAAAACTAAAATGATCTGATTTGCTTAAAAAACATTTATTTTTCTTATCTATGTTTATAACAGTTGTGCTGCTTTTTTTCTGGAAACGTATTTTTTTATTAAATTTTTACTTTATTTTATTAATATTTTTTAATCTTTGATGAATACAAAGTTTAAAAAACAGCATTTATTTGAAATAGAAATCTTTAGAAATGGCTTTCCTGACACTTTTGTTCAATTTAATGCATCTTTGTTGAATACATGTATTAATTTCTTAAAAAATTAATTATTAATTAATTTCTTAAAAAAACACCTTATTGACCCTAAACTTTTGATCAGTGTATAGTTTTGACTTTTGACAAAATAGTGGTTAGTGCTTTATTTAAACCTCTATTTTTGGTTTCACAGCAAGTATAAGCATAGAAGTTTTTGTTGTTGTTGTCGGAAATTCTTTCTCAAATTTTTTAGGGCCAATGTGGACTATAAACTGATAAGATTAATTGAGATGTGAAAAGAAGCTGTGTGTAGTTTTATATGTTACTGGCAAAACCCTGTGCAAGAGTAATTTTAAGTCAACTGAAATTATAGTTATCTTTTTAATGTTTGCATATGTAACAGATATGTAATTGCTTATTATTAGTCGTCAGCATTATTATTGTCCACATTTAAGTTTAAGGACTTGAACAAGCCACTAATAAGTTTTTTTCTTTGGTGTGCTTATTTTTTTGTGGCTTATTGAATGGAAAGTGTGAATAGTGTCATCAACCACCCAGCAACCACTCAGAACACCCTTGCAACCACATAGCAACATGCTAAAAACACACAGAAAACCTTAGCAACAGCTTAGCAACAGCCTGAGTTAGTGGCAGAAACTTTTTAATGAACAAACACTATTTACATTTACTGTGGTTGATATTAAATACAATTTAATGGATTTGCATGGATTTTGAAACTGTTATGTACTTTAAAAACTGTATGGACTACAATGGTTGTCCAATTAACCAAATACATGTCCTTGTGATATTTGATAATTCTCTTCTCGGTTTCATGATACTAGCTTCATAAGGAGAAACTTTGAACCATTTGCATCTTGTTATCTGTCTTCATTTTCTCCTTTGCTGGTCCTCCAAATCCTAAACGCTGGTGGACAGCAGTTGGGTAGGCTTGTGATTATTATGGGATCTTGTTTCTATGGTAGCAGGAGGGCACAGACGTCTAGTGGGTGAGCAACAGTTGGCATGAACACATACTTGATCATGTCCAGCAAACTGTCAGAGCTTACAGCGCTACAACAGGCTTCATCCACAAGTTTACATGT